TTTTTTTTTTTTTTTTTTTTTTTTTTTTTTTTTTTTTTTTTTTTTTTTTTTGGGTGTGTGTGTGTGTTTGTGTTTGTGTTTGTGTTTTATCCCACGTAATCTGTTTTTGTCACTTTTGGCAGAGTTAATAGTGTTCCTGAGAGTGTAATAGCACCAATTTTGCAGCATAATAATACAATTCAGTCTCCTTCTATTCACAAAACAAACACCCAAACAGATTCTTGCCAGATGTTAAAACTTCGGAATCAAGATGAATTCATCTTAAAATGATTGAAACTAATAAGAATTTGAGAACAGAATCTTTATATCAGAAACATCCAAGAAATCTAAAATGATAAAGATCCTACTGCAAACAACATTATTTCCTTAAATAGAAAGTTAGATTGAATCCTATTCTGAAGGAAAGTTAGATTGGATCCTATTCTAAAGGATAAAATCTATTGCTCTAACTTATCAAATATTAAACTTAAAAAATCACTTTATAAGCATAATTTGCTCGAGTTTTTGTGAAGTTAGTGATAACTAGATCTAATCCAATTCTAAAATGGAGATGGATTATGAACCCTATTCAGAATATTTAGATCACTAATTTTGTAAGATAGAAAGTTCAATTGGATTATGAAACCCTGTTCAAATCATTTAGATCACCAATTTTATCAATTCAAAATTTCTAAGTTGATCCAAGAAAAATTTTATCATCCCTATTTGGGTCATAATATTTTATTTTGGTGGTTCAAATAATCAAAGGTGAAATGCTACGTAGCTAGCTCAGATTGAGATGGAGTTTTAATGTCATATGGGTCCAACCAAGTATGCTTGACACCTAGCAATAGAAAGAATAAAAAAACCAAACATAAAATGATTGAGTGTGAGATTCACATTAGTTAGAGAGAGTAACTAAACACTCGCGAGTGTGGAAACCTCTCACTAGACATGTTTTAAAATCGTAAGACTGACGGCGATACGTAACTGACTAAAACGAATGGTATTTATTAGCAATGGATTTAAGCTACCAACATCGGGGGTGTGCTAGCAACGACACTAGCCCCCTACGAAGTGGAATTGTGAGATCCCTTGCTAACTCTCTAGGAGAGAATTGTGAGATCCTACATGGTTGGTGTGCGGAAACCTCTCAAACACTTTTTAAAATCACGAGACTAATAGAAATATCTACTAGAAGTGAGTTGCATTAATCATTCATCTCCATAAAAAAAAATTCACATTTTTTCTTTTCTTTCCTTGAAAAAAATCTCATAATTTTACATTTTACCTTTCACCATTGATTGAAAAACCCAAAACTACTCAAAATCTCCGGCAAATCACAGCTTTGGCCAGTTCTATTTCTTATACTGTTAATGCATGTGAATTAACTCTTCTTCCTTGCAGTCTCTAATGGCGATATCCAATCCTTCACCGCCATTGGAAGGCAATACATCACAGCACTGTCTTCTCGGAGCCTGCAACTGCATATTCATCATCATCAACGTCAGTTTCATACCAAAATCACTACTCAAAATCTTGCATCTCTGAGAATTTCTCTTACCTGTTTGTAATCAAGGTCGAGTTTACGAGACAAAACTCTGACTTCCTCCAATCTTCTAGCCGAGTTAGGACCATAAGAGCAATTCACAAAAGCTTTCTTGTAATTGCTCTCAATTAATCCATTCCAATTAGAAGAAACACGATCAAAATAGAAAACAATCGGCCGGCGACATGGGTCTTCATGAATTTCTCTCGTGTTCATTGCAAAAGAACCAGGCTCAACCCTCAATTCCCTTTTCCATGGCATGAATGTTCGTTGAACGCTAATGGCATCCTGCAAGAACACATGGCGTTCGTGTATTTGAACGGCGTAACCCCACGACACTGAAATAGTCCATGAGAACCACCGATCGTAGCACACACTCTGTTGCACGATCCTCTGTGAATCGACCTCGACGGCTTCGAAAAGATGTTGGAGTGATTCCTTGATCGTCATGTTGGGGAAAATTGGCTCGATGTGATCTAAATTATGCAATGAAACTAATGGGGTTAATGGGTGTGAAGCCAAAAGCCCAAAAATGTTGCCTTTTAAATCGACCTGATGGAAGCCCTGTTCGTGGGTCAATTTCACTCCGAGCTCTGTCAAACAAGATTGGATTCTCGAATCGCTTCCATAGAGATGTGGGTACCGTTCAATACACGAATCGAATACTTTTCGAAGAATTTTAGCTAAAGATTGGCTAATGGCGAATCCAGCTCCGCCGAATCCCATTTCGTAACCGAATACTCTGTTTTGGTCGGAAGTTTCAGAGTTGCTTCCGATATAGTACCAGAGCTCCTCGTCGTATTTGGACAGTGTCTTCACCAAATTCTCCGGGAAGAAAAACGTGTCATCGTCGCCGAAAACGTACCACCGGACATTTGAATGTCCAACAGCTATCGTTTCCAGCACCACTCGTGCGATCCTTATCGCGGATCGGTAACCGCCTCTGTAAGTATAACGGAACCGGGAAGTGTCGCCGGAGACGTAGACGGTGGGGAGCGAAGAAGCGTCGTGGTTCTGGGGATTTTCGTGTTCCGGAAGCTCGTCGAGGAAAACACAGCCTCGCATTAATCTGGGCTTCCACCAAATCTTGAGATAATCCTTTCGTTTGGGCCATGAGTTCTTGTCGGCGGCGATTCCGAAGACGATTTGATGGAGCGAGAGAGGGGAGGGAGGATCGGTTGAAGAAAGGTGGGGCCGGGGGAAAGTTCGCAGCAGGAAAACAGAGGCTAAGAAATAGGCAGTGCATAAAGAGGAGGAGATTAAGAAGAAGAGGGTTATGAGTTTAGAAGAGGGTTGGAGCTTAATGGGTGAATGAAGAATCGCCATTGTTGTGATGTGAAGAAACAGAGGTTTTGAGAGATATAGAGGTTGAAAGTGAAAGTGAAGGGCGAAATCGACGGCAAAAGCTAAGTCACGTTGTAAGTTTAGTGTTATTTACTTAACTTCTCCATGATTGTGAAGGTTCCGCTCGAACGATTACCAATAGTATTAGAGTATGGACAACGTGCTAACGACTACGCTAGTAGTTTGGGTTGTTACAAATGGTATCATAGTCAACATTGGACGATGTGCCAACAAGAACCCTATAGCTTGAGATGTTACAAATGGTATTAGAGTCAAACATGGAACGATGTACTAGCGAGAACACTAGGGAATTGGATTGTTACAAATGGTACTAAAGTTAGACATTGGACGATGTGCTAGCGAGTACGCTAGAGGCTTGAGTTGTTATAAATGGTATTAGAGTCAGCACTAGATAATGTGTCAATGAGAACGTTGGGGCTTGAGCTGATACAAATGGTATTAGAGCTAGAGATCGGACAATGTACTAGCGTGGACGCTGGGGCTTGGGCTATTACAAATGGTATCAAAGTCAAACACCGGACGGTGTGCCAATGGGAATGTTGGGGTTTTAAGCTGCTACAAATGATATCAGAGTCAGATACTAGACAATGTGCTAGCAAGGACGCTGGAGGTTGAGGCTATTACAAATGGTATCAGAGCTAGACGACACCAATGTGCTAGCGAGGATGTTAGAACTCAAGGGTAGATTATGAGATGTTGGGCTCCATCGGGCTACCTTGAATAATATATAATTAAAAATTAAAATATCTTTTTTACTTGTGTTTTAACTATATCTTTTATTTATTACATTTTTTTTTTTGTTACATTAATATTATAAGATATAATGGTGGTAGGTTTATATGTAGAATTGGATGTCATCAATTTAGAAGACCAATTAGAGGAAATATAGGTAGAAACCCATACTTTTTTATTTTATTTTATTTAAATATATTAAGATGGATTATTTATGGAGCAGTCGTAACGAAGACGAAATTGGAAAAAAAAGTAAATAAAAATAAAACAGAATTTTTGAAACGTAAAATTCAGTGGTTTTCCACGTGGAGTCTCCTTAATTACAGGCTCAGTCTTCCATCCCAATCCATGTGATTTTCTCTTTTTTAAACTAACAATTCCTTTTTTTTTTAATTATTTAATTAATGTAAATAGTTTAAGGACCATTTAATAATAATTTTGTATCTTCATAATAATAATAATTTATAAAAACAAGTTTTTATTATTCCTCAAAATTTTGTTTTTTTTTTCTTTTTCTTTTAATACCATTTTCCTATTTGAGTTATATATTTCTAGTAATTATTAATTATAATTATAATATTTTCGAGTTGGGTTGAATTACCAATCCAATTAATCCAAATTTTTGGGGTGTACTGATCTTTTTTTTTTTTTTTAACTCAATCCAAATACATCTATGATAATCATTCAGTTCAAATATTAATTCTCTCAATTAATTCTCCATCGTTTGGAAACGAAAAACAAAACCATGAGAGCTTATACACAAAGTGGATAATATCATACTATTGTGGAACTTCGTAATTTCTGATATGGTATCAGAGTCATATCAATAGAATCCTCAAATGTTGAACAAAAAACTTGTGAACTTTGAAGTCGAACAAAGAGTGGATTTTGTTCGAGGGGAGAATTGTTGGCTTCAGAGATAGGAGTCGAGCGTCAATTGAGGTGAGACTGTTCGAGGGCTCCATAAGATCTTAGGAGACTCTATAACGTATTTTGATCGAGGAGAAGATTGTTGAGAAGATTATGGATAGCATTGTGGAGTTTAGTGATTTCTACGTTCTCTTTGTTTCAAATCTAAAATGATTTTTAGTTGGTAAATATTTTTGAACCATGCAAACTTCAAATTTGTTGGGTTCGAAAATTCACGTATTGCCGAGAAGAATCCGACACTTTGAAACTAGTCGATCCATAAACAACGAGTTTAGAGGAGCTAAGAACTATCCAACTTATTTCACTCCTCCCACATGATTCGCCATGACTTCTCCCACAACAAAACGCCTTGCGCTCAGCACCACCGGCATCTCCAAAAAGGATTGCAGGTCATGCCTGAGCTGACTCGTCCCAAATTGTTGCACTCATATATGTGAAGAGACTCTCCAAGATGATATGATTTTGTCCACTTTGAGCATAAATTCTTGTGGCTTTGCTTTGAGCTTCCCCTCGAGACTTTAAAACGGACAAAGCTTGGGACTCCCTTCCAACCATCCTCAACAATATATGGAACCAAACTTGGTGTAGAGATACTAAAATCGGGAGCCGTACGGGCGAATAGAGGATCAAATGAGGCTGGCAGTGATGAATGAAGAGCTCCTGAAATGAAACAGAGTTGGGGCTGTAAAATGTGCCTCGACAGTGCTTGGAGTCCCAGCGCCAAGCTCCAATTACTCAGTCTTTGTGGGTAATATAGTATTATTTATTAGAATTCAATCTTTCAAATGAACATGAAATGATAACAGTTGGCTCCAGATTGTACCCGTTGACCTGGCCTCATCGATACCAATTTCCACAACGACATGGCCGCCACAACACCCAACTCAAATATCAGTACTATGATATTCAAAAGTCTTCCCTTTTACCACTTCATTACGATCTAAACCAATTCCCCACATTAAAAAACTCAATATACTTGAATAACTCATCTGGGTTCTGCGAGGTTTCGCCCAAAACCAGTTTTTCAATACCAAAAATGGCATCTTTGAATGAGCTAAGTTTGAGTCTGCCTTTCTGTATTAACAACGACTTCAGCAATATTTAATATCTTGTTGGACTAATCATCATTAGCACGTCTTTTCCCACTTGAAATATTGATTTGAAAACGCTATATACATACATAAACAGAGATAAAAGGCAGTTCAAGTTTGTCTCTTTGGGTTTGACTTTCTTGCAAGAACAGATCCGCCATCTCTGCTTGAAGATGGCAGCTTCAAGAACGTTAATGGCGTTGGCAATTGCAGCTACATTGGTGGTTGAATTAGCTATGGCGGCGAATTATACAGTCGGAGATTCAGATGGCTGGGAAATAGGCACCGACGTGCAGTCGTGGGCTGCATCCAAAAACTTCACTGTTGGAGATGTTATCAGTTAGTACTCTACATATCTTCTTATTATTGTAACCGTCTAAGTCCACTGTTAGCAAATATGGTCAGTTTTGGTAGTCTATTAGTGTCACACCTCTCCGATCATTAGTGTCACACCTCTCCGATGGTGATACGTAATAAGCCTAAACGGACAATATTTGCTAGCGGTGGACTTGAGCGGTTAGATTTTGGCTGAATTCTGGTGTGAGTAGTTTGGGGTTGAATCATTGACAGGTTTTGTGTATTCGGCGAACCATGATGTGGTTGAAGTGAAAGAGGTGGATTTCGGGTCCTGTTCAGGTAGCAACCCCATTGAGAAGCACACCGGCGGCAACACAGCCATCACGCTTTCGACTGCAGGCAAAAGATTCTTCATTTGTGGGGTGCCTGGCCACTGCACTGCCGGAATGAAGGTTCAAATTGACACCCTTGCAGCTTCGTCACCGCCGCCTTCCTCCACGGATGCACCTCCGTCTCCACCACCGCATGCCACTCCATCTTCACCGCCACCTGCCTCACCACCGCCTTCCTCCAAGGATGCACCTCCGACCCCACCACCGATAGTCGCTCCATCTTCACCGCCGCCTGCTTCTCCTCCAAAATCTGCAACGAAGCCACCCACAAAGTCTCCTCTGGCTCCATCACCTGGTTCTAACGCAAGCCCACCAGCGCCGCCCTTTAAACCAACTCCACCATCATCAGCACCGACACCGGAGCCTCCAATCCCTCCATTTCCATTTGATCAGCCATTGATTCCCTCAGCAGCCCCCACAACTCCACCTCCGCCTCCTTCATCAGCTTACAAATGCAGCTTCATGGTTCATTTCTCTGTTGGATTCAGCTTTGTTGCCATAATTCTTTTGGCCCTCTGAAAATTTTTCATTTTCCGCATACATTTTCCTGTGATCCTACAATATTTTGTTCCAATGCTTTTACTCTACGGGGTTCTTATGAATAATAGGCCCTTTACCAGCTATCCATTTCAAAGTATCTTATAGACGTTTCAAATTCTGCTCCCAAATTCAGCAAAATACTTAATTTTATTCTATATAGAGTTAGCAACAACATCTGCTAATTTTGAAACAAAGTTTTTACACCATCAGAAGCTTCGTCAACAGTTTAAAACCAAACACATGGTTGAAAAGAAACACAAACATATAAGGAAATTGTTAATAAGAACAGCACAGATAAACGAACCAAATCATTTGTGCTCACTTTTAAGCAACAGGTGGGCGGAGTACATGATCCTGAGATATGTCGACGGCTGCAGGTGGCAAGAACTGCCACATGGCAATGCCAGGATAACCAATGAGAGGCATCAGCTTGTGACCAGCAGCTTGGCCTTGTGCTGTAAATGCAGGTGACAATGTAGGAGGACGACGGTGGATGTCAGCTGCTCGAGTATTTACCCCTTTGATTTGCAGCTCCAACTTTTCTTTCTCTGCTCTCAACCTTTGCTTCTCATCACGAAGTTCATTCTTCTCAACCTGCATCCATACTGAGCTTAGAGATCAAGGGATAAGTAAATTCCACTTTGCGTGTGTATCAGATTTAAGTAAAACAATTCAACATTGCAGTTATTAGAAGTATTGCTCAAATGCACATGAAAGATTAGATTATTGCAAGAGAAGATCAGATCAAACAGGTTCATATTCAAGGTGGAAACAAGCTCGGGCGTGTTGAGCATTGTTGGGAGGGAGTCCCACATTAGCTAATTTAGGGAATGATCGTGGGTTTATAAGTATGGAATACATCTCCATTGGTATGAGGCCTTTTGGAGAAGCCCAAAGCAAAGTCACGAGAGTTTATGCTCAAAGTAGACAATATCATACCATTGTGAAGAGTCGTAATTTCTAAAAGGGAGGTCCATTGAGTGCTCATCTCACCTTTAATTCTTTGATTTTTGCCTTCAAATCCTCCTTAGATTGTTTCAGCTTCTGGGTTGCAGTTTGTAAATCAGTCACCATCCTGATGGCATCGCTCAAGATTGCAACCTTGTCTGTTTTTGGTGGTTTTCCAGGTTCAAGGACAGCAGCCAACTCCAAGAAACTTGGAATCATAGTAGACGGTGAATTAGTAGGGTAAAAAAAAGAGAGGAATAAAGTAATAGTTGATCAAATATGATACCTCTCATTCAGCTTATCTCTTCTCAATTTCTCTCTGCAAGCTTTGGTGGAAGATGCAACAGCGCCTGTTTCAGTCTTTGGCCTATATAGCATTTGAGAATATAATAATTGATTCATTCTTTTTAGCTCAATAACTTAAGCTCTTCAGTCTAGTGTTTATTCAATAGAATGTAACTAAATCAGGGAATAAACCTAATAACAGGGGAGTCTGGACCCTGTTCTTTTTGTCAAACTGCCACTAACACTGGATGCAAAAGTTACATACTAGGTTAACTGACTAAATGCAAGTTCTTATAATAAAATCGGTAAAAACAAACTTTGATATGTCCACTTTGGGCTTTTCCTTCCGAGCTTTCCCTCAAGGTTTTTAACCAACGTGGGATCTTGCACAACTACTACTGCCCCACCCCCCATTATTCTTTCATCTTCTATCTTCTGTGTATTAGAGTTATTTGAAAAGTTTTTATCTTCTATGGCTACATGGTTCCAGTCACGTATGAAGCATATCAAGATATGGCGACTATTTAGAGTGGGGAAACCTCTCCTTAATAGACACGTTTTAAAACAATGAGGCAGACGGCTATACGTAACGGGCCAAACTGTGAAGGCAGACTGTCCATGGTCATTTCTTCTAGTTTGAGTTCGAAGGGATTGGCAACGAGATGATGAAAATAGATTCTATTATAACATTTATGCTCAAGATAAAGAATCAGTAGCCCAGTTGACATTGCAGCTCGCAAATAGTTAATAGAAATCTACTTCACCAAATTAAGCTACCCCAAATAGATTCTTATCTGTTTTGGTTCTTCAGTAGTTCTGATAGAAACTTACCGTTTTCGACCCACTTCCTGTAAGCCGTCCAGATCTCCATATGAGCAGTCTACCTCCAAGCTGAAAAAAATGAATATCCAATGAATAAAAACGAAAATAATAAACTTATTTCATGCATGCAATCTCCTCCAACAAGGTAGCAACTCAACGGATCCAGCCCGTCTTGTCAAGGAAAACACACATAAAAAGAATAAATTGTTCGAAGCTTTATCCTTTTACACGTATCGTCGTCAGCCTTACGGTTTTAAAACACGTCTACTAGGGAGAGGTTTCCACATCCTTATAAAGAATGTTTCGTTCCCCTCTCCAACCGATGTGGGATCTTACAATCCACCTCCATTCAGGGTCCAGCATCCTCGCTAGCACTCGTTTCCCTCTCCCACTGACGTGGGATCTCACACTAAGACCTTAGCTATTTACGAAACAAACGGATGAAGCTAGGGTACTCTACACACTTGAGTCAGCGTTAGCTGGTAACTAATGAAAACAAGAACTCTGGAAAAATAATCCTCCCACCGGATCAGCAATTTTTTAATCTTGACCCAAAACAGCATGAATCACACCCCATCTAAGAGGCTCAGTAGCCATTTGATACCTTTGACTGAGCTCTCATTGACGTCATATCCCCAAAATCAAACTTAAGAACAATAACATGATCCATAAAGAGACAAATTAAATCATTTCCCAAGCCAACTGAATCAGTGTAACCCCCAGTGAATAGTTTATCCAATATCCAAGTTAAAAATAGAACAAGAGAGAGAGAAAGTGACTTATAGATCCAACGAGTTCATCAACTAATGTTCAAGTGGGGTTATGGGGAATTGGAATGCTTTGTATCTGCATCAGAAAACAGAACTAATTGATTATAAACTTGGTTGCTAAAAGATTCTCCAGTTAATCACATGCTAGAGCATAGTACTGAAGGCCAAACCAAAATTTAATTTGGTTTCCAAAGACCCAACACTGCACACAGTCCCAAAAGGCACAAACCGAGTTGCTCTGTCCCTAAAATGGCATGGCATGGCATTTAAGCAAACAGTTAAGATGCGCAGACGTGTAGAACAGTTGCAACAATCTTATCACAATTTCTTGCAGAAAACAAAAGCAATAAAGGGGGAAAGGAAAACCATAGATTAAAGCTGATGGGCAGTTCGGCTTTTGATGAACATAATAACCACAAACAGAGTAATAGAAACAAAGGGTATATAAATTTACCCACCTGTCTTTAGATGAAAAGTTGATGGAGGGATTGGACCAGCTGAAACCAACCGACTGTGGAGGGGAGAAGTTGCCGGCGGCGGCGGCGGCGACGGCGAGATCATCCATTGTAGAGTAATCGAAGAGCCAATTCCAGTTTCCTGCAGAGTAGTCCATCGGTCGTTTTCGAGAGGTTGAAGAAGCTGCATGAACTAAAAAGGCACAGCCACCATGGATGGAGAATAGAGAGAGGCGACACTTTGTGGGATCGATCAAAAAGCTCCAATGGGACCAGAGTGGGGGCCATGGCGCTGATTTGAAAAAAAAAAAAATTCTGGGTTTTCTCTGTTAAACAATTCGGGGCTAGGTCATTTCCACCCAATATAATAACCATAACCGATTAATTAATCAAAACAAGAGTGTGATTGGAGTTCATTGATCATTAATCATTCATCATTGACCTAAGTTTTTAGTCATTACAGAAGAAATCTGCGAAGAATTGTTCGCCAATTTCGCATTCCACTATAATCGATCATACCATTTTCAAATTTGAAACCCATTTTCGAAACATCCATTAAATATATATTTTTTCGGAGATTTTTTTTTGTTCTTATCGCTAGAAAAGCTTGAAATTTATTTACTTGAATAAAAAAAAAAGTGTTTTGAGATAAGATTCTATTTGATTCTCATCATGATAAAGTTAAACATGAGATCCAAATTTGAGAGACCTAAAAAATACATACATTATTCTTAAGAGGGCATTTTAGTAATCTAAGTATGACGTTTATGTTCTGTCTTAGTGTCTACTATTATTTTATTTTATCCATTAAAGATGGAGAAAAGTGAGATTCGAAATACCAGTAACAATAATTAAAAAGGTAATGCCTCTGTGCCCAGAATTTATATTCAAGGACTGAACATGACCATGTTATCTATTTGTTTCTTAACTATTTTACATTAAAGGCATTGTACAAAATTTTATTTAAAAAAAATATGGAATTTACTTCCATTACTTTCAAGAATATTGTATTTGAAAAACTATTATTAAAGATATTTTATTTTAACCGAGAGAGAGAAACCTTCTCCGTCTCCATAATTGAGCTTAAATGAGCTCCACCGAAGGCCCAAGATAAAAACGTTGCTTCAGCCCAGTCAAATATGAGCAACTGGGCCGCCGGAAAGTTTTAAAAAAACAAAGGCCCAAGATAACGGCATTGCTTCAGCCCAGTCAAATTTGAGCAACTGGGCCGCCAGAAAGTTTTAAAAAACAAAGGCCCAAGATAACGACGTTGCTTCAGCCCAGTAAAATATGAGAAACTGGGCCGGCGGAAAGTTTTTAAAAAGAAAGGCCCAAAATAAAACGTTGCCTCAGCCCAGTCAAATATGAGCAACTGGGCCGCCGGAAAGTTTAAAAAAAGAAAGGCCCAAGATAACGAAGTTGCTTTAGCCCAGTCAAATACGAGAAACTGGGCCACCGGAAAGTTTTTAAAAAACAAAGGCCCAAGATAACGGCGTTGCTTCAGCCCAGTCAAATTTGAGCAACTGGGCCGCCGGAAAGTTTCAAAAAAGAAAGGCCCAAGATAAAACCTTGCTTCAGCCCAGTCAAATATGAGCAACTGGGCCACCGGAAAGTTTAAAGAAAGAAAAAAGAACGATAAATATGGAGATGCGGGGTATCGATCCCCGTACCTCTCGCATGCTAAGCGAGCGCTCTACCATCTGAGCTACATCCCCGACGTATGATAAAACACAATTAATAATAATAATAAACAAAATAAAAAAAGTAACCCATCTAAATAATAATGCACAAACCATTGAATACATCTTAAAACCTTTGTTTTTTCAATGTCATTATTCTCTAGCGTGTATAATTAAACCATGATTGACATTTGAAACCTTCACATCCACGAAAATTATAATTAAATTTGTAAATTAATGGAATATGAGCCGTCAAAAGATCAAAACACCATTTAAATGGAGATTAGTTGGTTGGAATTAAGGTTCACCAATAAGCTGGTAGCCTTAGTCATAACTCTGATCCAACCTCGGTCAAAAAGTCAAAATTTGATTAGCACAACTCATGGATCATAAGATTTGACAAGGATGACCCTTTTTGGAATGTTGATTTGACTAACTGTAGTTAGTTACAGAGTGGCAGGAGATTAAAATTAATTAATCCATCCTTGCCCAGCCCGGTCTCTAATTAATTACGGACATTTTATTTTCACTGGCACGACAGCCACTCATATTTAATTAGAAATTCCATTGGGTTGAAAAGAAAAAAAAAAAAAGTTAAATAAAATAAAAAAATTTAAAAAAAAAAAAAAAAAGAAGGAAAAAGGAAAAAGGGTTTTCCTCATAGTTCCCGGGACGTCTGTGTTTAACGCAACATTTTTTTCCCTCCCTTTCGGATATCAAGAAAAGATATCTTGGAAATACAACGGGGGGAAAAGAATTCCACTTTTTTGATTTCGAAGGCAAAACCCAGGGGAAATTCTGCTGAGGAGGAACAAAAATATCATCCGCCGGCCAAGGGATTCAACCTCTCAAACCTCGTAATTTCGTCGATTTCACAACAGTTGTGTGCATGAGATTGAAGTAATTCCATCGTAGTGGACGATTGATTCGCACCTTTCAATTGGAACGAATGGGTTTGAGATAAAGAAATTCCTTTGAGTTCGATGAAATGAAAAGAGAAAATTACGGATGGAATGAGGGTTCACACAGAAATGGAATTGAGAAGACCTGGTTATGTGGTTGTATTTGTGATCCTCCTCAGCGCATTGGCAATTTCCAGTTCAGAGGCCAGAACGAAGACCGTCGAAATGGTTCTCACCACTGCCGGCGATTGCCATTTCGCCTCCTCGGAATTCGAACCATATATGGTAATGCATCTGTTTTCTACAATTTTCTACAGTTTTCTGCGCGCGCGCGCACACACACACATATATATATATATTGAATGTGCAGACAATCTAGAACATTTGAATTCAAACATAGATAATGACATAAAATTGAATTTAGCGTAGAATGGGAGGATGCAATGGTTTTTCTGAATTGCAGGGAATGGTGATTCGTACCTTTTTTGGTTGTTAGCTTTCATTTCCATGGGGGAGATGTTTTGTGATTGTTTGGATGCATATATCAGCTTCTCGCCATCTGCAAAAACATAACTAAATTCTGTAAAATAATGTTGGGGTAATAACAGGAAGAAAATCTGGCGTGCATGAAAGAATTGGGAGAGAGGGAATATGAATATGAAGATGAAGAATTGGTTGCTTGCATCCAGAAAGGGAACATGGATGAAGCTATAAGAATTCTGGATCCTGAGATGAAACATGAATTGTTGAATTGTTTAAGAAGGAGAAGTATGTTTTCTCGTGGATCTGAAGAAGAAGCACGTCCTAACTTAATTGATGGGTTTAGAAGGTCAACTGAGTTCATCTCCGGAGGCTCCAATATTCACATGAGACGTACAATTCTATCATCCCAAGATTCACCACCATCAGGCCCTGCCGCAGCTCCATCCCCTTCATCAGAATCACCAAACAATTCTCCATCATCATCTCCCAGTAATGCTCCAATGTCATCCCCTACTCATGTCCAACCTAAGTCTCCATTGCCGAAATCGAAATCGAAATCGAAGTCGAAGTCGAAATCGAAATCGAAACAGAAATCGAAAGCAGATGACACCGACACTGGTAATTGGGATTCTACGGATTCTACGGATTCTACGGATTCAACAGATTCACCTTCAGCTTCTGCAGGTCGCTCACCAAGTCTTCCACGTGGTTCTCCCAAGCGTCGCCCTACAATTACGGAGGAGGAAGAAGAAAACCTGATGATTATAATTGCTGGCATTGTAGGAACTGGTGTGGCAGTTGTTTTTACTGTTGCCCTGCTTTTGTTCTGCAGTTGTAGTGATGAGGAAAATGAGCCTGATCCAAAGTTTAGGCAAAGGAGTGAGAAGCCTCTTCTTGTATCTATGGGCGAAGTACCAGCAGGTACTATCTTTTGGTTATGTTCTCTCATGTTTGCACTCGTGATTTTCATATGAACTTTGTAATTTGTGTACTTTAGGTTCTTCACTGAAGTCTTACAGCCATGGAAATTCAGCTACCAAACAGTTCGGTGCTGATAATGCAACGAAACCACCCTCTTTTGCTGGCAACTTGTCGGTGAATCCTGAAAATGTTACCTCAATGGCTGAGGCTCCAAGATTTGACGGTAAACCATCGGCAATGCCGCCTCTAAAACCCCCTCCTGGAAGATCAGAACCTCCGCCACCTCCTCCACCAGCACCAGAACCAGCACCAAAACCAGCACCAGCACAAGCGGCGGCGGCGGCGGCACCGGCAGCACCTCCACCGCCACCAGCAACTGCTCCTAGAGCTCCACCTCCTCCTCCCATGAAAGGTGCTCGACCCCCACCTGCCCCACCGGCGGGAATCCCTGGTAAAGCTCAAGCAGCGCCTTTGGGGTCAAATCAGCGTGGAACCAATGGCTCAAATACGAATTCGGATCCAGGAAGCCACAAGACCAAGTTAAAGCCATTCTTCTGGGATAAGGTTCTTGCCAATCCTGGTCAATCCATGGTCTGGCACGAGATTAGTGATGGATCTTTCCAGTAAGCCAACTTAAAACTCTTGAATCTCATTACTAATTCTTATACAAAGGGATTCGATGTGTATTACCAGTTTAACCATTATAATCTTGGCAGATTCAACGAGGAGATGATGGAGTCTCTGTTTGGGTACAATCCTGCAGAAAATAACAAAGGCAACCGCAAGAAAGATTTAGCTTCAGATTCTTCCAATCAGTACATTCAAATCATCGACGCTAGGAAAGCTCAAAACCTTTCAATTCTCCTACGTGCATTGAATGTAACAACAGCAGAAGTCGTGGATTGCATTCAAGAAGGCACGCTCTCTGTTCTTTTTCTCTCCTTATAACTCGTTTCTATGTCATGCTTGAGATTCGATAAGAGAATAAATCAACAAATTATGTACCAGGAAATCCGGATCTTCCAGCGGAGCTTGTGCAGACATTGTTGAAGATGGCGCCAACAACAGAAGAGGAACTGAAACTGAGATTATTCTCAGGCGACCTTTCTCAGATCGGTCCGGCAGAACGGTTCCTCAAAGTGTTGGTGGAAACTCCTTTCGCTTTCAAACGATTAGAGTGTCTTCTCTTCATGATTTCAATGTCGGAAGACGTCGCTACCGTTAAAGAGTCATTCACAACTCTAGAGGTGACGATTCCAAAATTCAGAAAACAAATTCCATCAGTTCATAAACACACAGCATTTAGTTTACAAGCTACTTGTTAAATGTTAGGTCGCTTGCGACAAACTCAAGAACAGCAGGCTATTTCTCAAGCTATTAGAAGCAGTTCTCAAAACTGGAAATCGAATGAACGACGGAACGTACCGTGGCGGTGCTCAGGCGTTTAAGCTCGACACGCTCTTGAAACTGGCGGATGTTAAAGGAACCGACGGCAAGACTACTTTCTTACATTTCGTCGTAACGGAGATTATTCGTTCGGAGGGCGTGAGAGCAGCCCGCTCTTGCAGAGAAAGCCAGAGTTTGTCCAGCATAGCCTCCGCCGATATTGTTTTGGATGACTTCACTGACGAGTCGACGGAAAATTATCGAAAACTAGGTCTTCAGGTCGTTTCTAGTTTGAGCACGGAGCTCGTGGACGTTAAAAGAGCGGCAGCCATAGATGCGGATGGGTTAACCAAGATGATAGCGAAACTCGGCCAGTCTCTGATGAAATCCAAAGCATTTATAAATGCCGAAATGAAGAATTTAGACGAAGACAGCAAATTCCGCCAATCGATATTGAAATTTTTGGAAGACGCAGAAACGGATATTACGTGGATTGCAGGGGAAGAAAAGAACATAATGGCGATGGTGAAGAGGACGGCAGATTACTTCCATGGAAGTTCCGGAAAGGACGAAGGATTGCGATTGTTTACCGTCGTACGCGATTTCCTGATTATGCTAGACAAGACGTGTAAACAGGTTAAAGATGCAGCTGCAGCTGAAGCTGCAGCAGCGGCGGCAGCGGCAGTGGCAGCAGCGGCAACAAACCATGGGAAGAATTCAAAGAAAGAAACTCAGAAATTGTCGGCTACTTCTAATCAGAGCCCAGAGCTACGGCAACGGCTATTCCCGGCGATTGTAGAACGACGGAAGGGCGAGGATTCAAGTTCTTCGGACGAGGAGGACGGCGACGGCGACGGCGACGGTGAGAGTTCATCTTCATCATCCTAGATTCCACTGACTGTATTTTAATTCTACGAATCGGAATCCCTTTTTGTGTGAATGGAAGAAAAATCTTCTCCAAAACATTCTGCAGCGTGACTTCTCAAGCAGATCATCTAACCGAACCTTCTTTGTCTTGACGATTTGTGACTTTATTTTATGACTGATTTATTTCTTAGAACTATATCTTGAATTCAAAATTTTGGTTAACCCTTTACTTTTGTACTCATAAAATTAGTAGAATTCTTACAAGTTTGAATCTAAAACGAAAATTTAATAAGCAACCGTGGAAGAAACATAATAAGCAACACAAAACAAGCCATGAATGAAACACAAAATCCCTCCCATCGACAGAAAGTGATGATGCGAAAATCCACAAGAAGTTCTTGATTTACTGTTCGCCAATGCCCCAATCACCAGCAACGACATTCCCACCGCTAGAATTATCCTTCAAAACAAAAACAAAAACACAAATTAAGACTCTTAACGTGATCCCATAACGAAACATTTTTATAATGGTGTGAAAACTTCTCTATATCAGACTCGTTTTAAAACATTTAGGAAAAGTGTAACAATCCACGCCCATAGCTAGCAGATACTGTCCTCTTTGGGCTTTTCCTGTCGGGCTTCCCCCCTCAAGGCTTTAAAACAATCTCGGCCCACCGCTACCAGATATTGTCCTCTTTGGCCTTTTCCTTTCGGGCTTCCCCTCAAAGTTTTAAAACGCGTCTGCTAGGTCAAAGTTTCCACACTCTTATAAAGGGTGGTTTGTTCTCCTCCGCAACTAATGTGGGACATCACACAAAGTCTAAAGAGGACAATATTTATTTACACTTTAGCATAGAACAATATTTTATTACTTTTAAAGTTGGAAGGGGATAAACCATTTTGAAACCCTTGAGGGAAAACCATTTTGAAACCCTTGAGGGAAAGTTCAAGAAGGACAATATCGTTTTAAAATTCTTACGGGAAAGTCCAAAGAGGACAATATCGTTTTAAAATTCTTAAGTGTAAGTCCAAAAAAGACAAGATTTACTAGCATTGAACTTGGTATTACACTTAACCTAACATCTGATTTTGTAAGCTTAATACGCACAAACTTACCAGGTGAAAACAAGGCATCCGATGGAGATCTGTTTGTTGGGGGGAGATTTCTCAAGCTCTTCCTTAGAGCAAATGCAATTGAAACCCCCCAACAAATTAGCAATTATGTGGGCTAATCCCAGCAGCCCTGCTGCTCCTAGCCCCAATTTGAAAGCCTGCTCACTTGGGTCTCTGCACTCGAATATCCACAGACGCAAGTGCTTCACCTACACAATAACCACATTACAGAGTTCAAATCATCACCATTCAACTCATGGTTATGCGTTGTTTTCAAATGAGTACCTTGTTTTGTGCAATATCAGCTTCGATGGCGAGCAAGCCAGCCACAATATCCATAGCTACAATCAGCAAACAAACCAACACGCCAACCAACTTCATGGTATCCTTTTCTTCTTTCTATCAAAGCAAAGGGTGTGGAACAAAAGGGTCTATTTATGGGGTTGAAAAGGCTTCTTTACACACTACAAAGCTTCAATTTTGGTCTTTTTTTCATGTTCCATCTTGGATTCCTTTCATGGGGGAGCAAGGAAAGTAGGGTATAAAAGTATAGAAAGCAGTGCAGATTAGATTATATGTGGCCCAGTTCATTCGGTGGCATGACCTTAATTCTTGGTTAACTTTTTTGACTTTTAATTACATACCCATAATGGTATTGCCAGTAAATCTACGAAAGAGCTTACCCTCAAAGTAACAATATCATATCATTGTAGAAGTTCGTGATTTGGTTGTTTCACTCGAGGAATAGAGCAATGCTTTGTGGGAAAATTTTGAGGCTTCTCACGTACAAAAGGGGATTAATGGAATAGAATCACAGATTTAGAGGCTTAATTAATTACTATAGCTATGATTATTCGTGTCTTTTTCCTTTGGGAAGGAAAAAGGTGGATTCTTGAAGGAGGCCATGTGGTTGGGCATCTGGGATTCTATGACGCAAAGAAATTGATATAGGAAAAAAACAAAAAATCCGACTTGCCGGATTCGAACCAGCGACCTAAGGATATCTGAAGGCTTAACCAACTACAGTCCTCCGCTCTACCAACTGAGCTAAAGTCGGATGTGTTCATCGTTTTGCACATTTATATATAAACTAAATAAAGTAAGGAAAAAATGGAATTAAATTGTTTCATTTGAGGGGTGACTTTATTTGAATTTCAAACTACCATCACTTTATGCATAAAATGTAATGGCACTTTGAAATAAGAATATGCCCTAAACTTTACTATGATTCCACTTTAGCCATAATTAAAATCTTATATCATTACGTAGTTTGAATATAGATTCTTAGTTATTGCTTTCTAAAATTTTAATTATTCTTTTTTTTTTTTGTCGATTATTGGTCATTTAGTAATTATCGACATAATCATTCTAAGATAATGATATTAATTTTCATGAAAAAAAATACTATGTGGTGCGTACGAATAGCTATGCAATAAATTCTCTCAATTTTTTTTTTACTATTTATTTTAAATACTCACTTTTTTTTTTCAAAATAAAATTTAAAATAATAGCAAAACAGTGGCTCGAGAGTGACAATTTGTAGTATAAAATTTTTAATTTACTCGTATTGTTTTACTAGTGGTAGAGATAATATAGTTTTTGGAGGACATAATTTAATGACATTTTGGGACCCAATATCATCATCCCATTATATAGATTAAAGTCTAACTCTACTCGAGACCTTTTAGAAAATATTTTTCAATTAAAAATTAAATTAGGTTGTAAAACTATATATTATTAACATAACTACAAAAATAAAAGTTTACTTAATTGATCTTATTTAAAAACAAAATTTAATAATGCATATCAAAATTATGTATGATAATTATAAAAAGGTAGAGGCCAATGTTTATAAATGATAATAATAATAATTTTTTATATATTTGTTGGGCAGATGGAGCTTTTTTTGTAATAATTGCACCACCACAAATAATAATTTTGAGGAGACATATAATAAATTGAACATTATTATTATTTTTATTAAAATATTAAATACAATTTATTATACCTTTAATAATTTAGTTGCGTGTGTATATATATAAATAATAAAAATGTCTGTCCAAAGCTGAACAATATAAGGACGAGTCTCGTGAAAACTGTAGGGATCAGAAACGGTGTCGTTTGGTGCAGAGAGATGATTGGACAATGATTAACAAAATAAAATAAAGTTAAATGCTTATTAGGTGTAATTTTCCCTTATTATCTTACACTAATACAATATATTTAGTATAATTTGTGGATCAAAATTATGTGGGGTCCACAAAAGGGCCCAACCGACATAAACAAAACTTCAATCTTTAAAAATTAAACATCATAAATGATAAGAACATAACAACATATCTATCCTCTTATTTATTTCTGATTATTAATTCATTATAATTTGGGACCCACATTACCCTCAATGATTCGACAAATGGTACGATACGAAGAATACTTCACTAGAGATGTCTATTTAACTTGCGAGATCAAAGTTTTAAAAGGACTTGAACAAGATGATGATTCTCTGTGTAGACAGAGACCCCACCAAAGATATCCATTTAACGTGCAAATTAGAATCTGAAAGGGACCCACCTAAAGAAGCATGCTGATTCTCCATTTAGACGAAAACTTTCTAGAGATATCCATTTAATTTGCCAGGTCAGTATCCCAAAGAAACTTGCTTGAATATATGGAGATTCTCTGTTTAGATAGACAATAAAAGAGAGAGTGGAGAGAGACTATTTCTGGTCGAATAAATATAAATATAAATATATTTTTATGTCTTCCAAGTTGCAATAGATTTAATGTATTCAACATTTAGATTAGTGTTTTTTTTTACCGTTAATTGGATTAATTTATTTATGTAGTTATTTTGTTTTTGTCGCAGAAATTAACGATATATCTTTATCTTTTGAGTTGTTCTGCCGGATCAGTCGTTCAAGACCTTTGTCTCTATCTGGACGCGATGAAAAAAATGGGATCACTTCTTATGGACTCGTTGAGAATGATTCTGATCTAATTCATGGCCTATTAGAAGTGAGAAGACGATCGGTTAGGATTGGGATCCTCACGAACAGAAAAAGATTGCAGTCGATTTGATAATGATCGAGTGACATTGCTTCTTCGGCTCCAACCCAGGAATCCTTCGTCTCTATTGTTGTTGATTCAACTAAGAATTTTCGAACCGATTCTTAAAAAAATAAACAAAGAATTTTTTGACGAGATGGTGACGAAGAAGAGACCTTTCTTAATCCGGTCCCATTGACACCTCTAACCCCACTTGGGAGTCAAGGGTAACCTACTTTTCCCAACAAACTTAATACCATTTATGTCTAAAGTTAATTCTTATTACTATGTGTTTATTAAATAAAATAAAATAAAAACTCATAAATCGACAATATTATAAAACTGAAACTCAGTTATATTTTAATATTTTAATTTAATAAAAATATTTTTATTCCTTCAAAAATTATAATAATATATTGGATCAACTCCATTAATTTTTAAAGTACGATTCAAGTTAAAAATATATAGTTGACTGATAATAATTTAAAAATTCATCTCGATGAGTAAGACGATTCGATATTTTGTTCTAATATTGGAATAAAATTTTAAAATAATTTTATAATTTATTTTTTTTATGAGGTGTAGAGTGGACTATGAGTTTATTATTATTAACTACTTTTCTTGGGTAAAGATTTATATTTTTTTGGGCAGGAATGTCAGTGGTCACACTTTACTTGCACTCATACTACACCTAACTCTCTCTCTGTCTCTCTCCCTCTGAATTTGTGTGATATATTTGCCTTCCATTTCTATTTTCTTCTGCTTGTTTCTTGCACCACCGTCGAGAATCTCTCAGTTTCCTGAAATTTGTTCATTATTCTGAAGAAACCCAACCTGGATCGTCCCTTTCCGCTTGTCTTCTTCTCCGTTTTCACAATAAACCCCCTCTGTTCTTCCTCTGTTCTTCCTCTGTTCTTCAATCCTCTACGTTTTGTTCTGGTTTGTGGGGGTTTTCTTTTTCTGGGTTATGGAAGTTTGCTGCAATCTTGAAGTGGATGTAAATGGCGAGCAGATCTTTCTCGTCGATAAGGTCATTCTCTGTTTTTTTTTTTTTTTTTTTTTTTTTTTTTTTTTTTTTTTTTTTTTTTTTTTTTTTTTTTTTT